TTATACTGAAATAAAAACCGGTAAATATTGTTTTTGTTTTTGCTTACACAAAAATGGCGGTCGATCAAATTTAAGTTTGAACTTAAGCGTACCATCATTACCCAATCACTTACTATTAGCTATATATACTGGCATTCCAGGTAAAATATCCAACATTTATTTACAATCTTATTTCAGCAATTCCAACGCTAGATCACCAACATTGATCCTTACATTTGTTCCGGTACTTATTACCTTTGTTTTTTTTATACTACAATTTTTATCTACCTACGTTGGTAGTCGTAATTACATATCGATTGTATGAAAATAAATGTTCAAAGTAGCTTGTATTGAATAAAATACAGAAACCGTGTTTCTATTTACACGGTACCTTAGTGTGACTAAACAATTATTTAAAAAGACTAACAATAAATAAAATAAGCAAATTAACGTATCAATTTACTTTTTTTTTTGGTAAACAAGAAATGATTAACTATAGTATTCATTTTCCTCAAAATTGTATGGGTAATTTCGCTTTAAACAAATGACGATTTTAATGTACATATGTTTATGCAACTAAAAATAGTTGGAAATACTTCTGTTATCTTCGCTATTAACGGATTAATAATACGCGCTTAACTATAACACCTGTTTATTAATTATATAATGTTCAGTTAGCCTACCTTATATTTTAACTCATGCCGATCTCACTGAATACGATAAAAACGTGAGAAATATCACACAGTAAGGCAGATTTGGTGAAACATCAATTTTATTGCTTATCTAACTGATTTATGCATCGTTATATAGTGTCAGCGCTGCGTTTTGAGTTTGCGATCGCAAACTTACTAAATTCGGTCACTAACTCGTAGCGATCGTAACTTAACGATTATTGCAAGTTTGTACAATTAAGTATTTATTACATATTTGTTAGGCACGTACCGAGCGCAACTGTCAAATTAAATATATTCGTTAGTTTCCTAGCGATCGAGTTTGATAGCTCGGTTAATGAACTCTGCGATCGCTATCAATGTCTAGACTACATGCCCAAGACTTCTTTAATTGACTAAATATAAAAACACGAATAAACTTTTATAGACAAGTCACATCGTACTTCGATTAAAAATTGTTTTTTTTTTTCATTTTTATTCCATGGTATTATTATGCTTTACTTAGAATGTATTTTTTAGAAAAACAAAGCTATTACTACTAATGGCGTGTTCTCGTCAGATGTTTTGCTACAAAAAAGGATAAGTAGTTATTCAAATTGATATATTGCGCGAATCACAATTCACATTGATAACATGAGATAGAATATAAAGTAGATGGTTTTACCTAACAAAGATTTTATTTACAGATATTTTTTGTATTCTATATTAGCGTTTAAAATACTGAGACACGAACGAAACTCTTATGTTAACATCTTACGAAAAAAAATAAGCTTTAATCTTTGATCTATAAAGTTCATTAATGATTGAATACTGCATGCCAGTACCGCTGATAATAAACTTTGAAAGCGCATTAGTTTCGTTTGTGTCACAGATAGTATGTTTTATATAAAAATAATATGGAAATGTTTATGTTCCATCACTTGAACAACGGATTTACACTTAAAAATCACAATAAAATACAATGATTAAAAAATATCACACATCGTTTTGGAGTACAATAATAATATTGCATTGAGTTACATTATCATAGCTGCCAAAACAATATTTTTTGAAAGACATGACCAATGTCTCAGTCAATATACACAATATAGCAAAATAGTTAAATATAATTCTCGCACAGCGATATAAGAAAACCGATATTTTAAACATACATATTATTATTTATATGTACTATAAATATCGTCGAAAGATGTCCCGTTCGCGAAAATTTTAATGAATCCGTGATAACATATCACATGTTCAAAGAACGTCGTGGTTCATTGTTATGTTCAATAATAAAATTATCCGAAGGGGACATTGCTGTTCGAGTTTATAAGCATTTATAATTATTTTCACTCATTCACGTAATTTCAAATACATACTAGAAAGGGAAAAAAACTACATACTCATCAGAGTAATTTTAGTACAAAGACAGCGATTTGCTCGAACTCCTTTCGATCGTTCTAAAACAATTTTTATCGATTTAAACAAAATAATTATACAACTCAGTAAATCGTACTTGACTTGATAGAGTAATACTGTATCAAGTGGAAGGGTCGTGCCTAAGCACTTTTAGTTCAGTACGCCCTGATTGTAACAAAATCGTGTAGTTGATAATCAAATATTTTCATATACGCACTCCTGGGGAACTACTGCGTAACTGCCATAGTAGAAACAGAAAAGTAGGCCGAGTCGAGTTACAGTGATAAATCTCAAACGCGTAGAGCTGTCACTTTTAATAATAAATTATTACAAGCGACACAGGGCGTAGCCCACATAATAATATACTATAGCGCGTAACCGTGACTGGCGAGTGGCAGTGTGCCTTTAACAGCGATAAATTTTGTCAGTGTCAATTTTGCGTGCGACGAAGCATACGTATGAAGCGCGCTCACATAGAAACAGTGTTCGGTGCGTATTATGAAGAAAACGTACTCATCTATTTCTACTATGTAACTACGTACTGTTATGTTGAGGATTTGAAGAATCTTTTAATATTTATTTAGCCCGAAATCTATACTGGATTATTAGTTCGTGAATGCGACTGACCGATGGGCGAGATGTGGCAGAATGATGTCGTCGCTGCATGAAGCCCTGAAAATGGTCAGCTGGAAATCGTTGGCACAGCAGTCACAGGTACATTTTCTAGATGTAACAGTACGTAGAGTTTACTAAGACTGACATTGGCTTCAATAAAAAAGCAACCAACGTTAATTAAATGCAATTAAATTGAATATAATGTCAACAAAATCGTAGTCAATTTAGTTACGCGGTAGGCCAGCAGGAAGACCAATTTATATAACATTCTCAAATAAAAGAGAAGGTTTTCTACTATAACTAACTTATTATATAGGCGAAAAACTAAAGTATCTGAAATTCTTGCATGCAATTTATACAGATTATAGCATTACTACACAGGTCTATAAATATTCAGCATTTTTCTCAAGTAATGCGCCATAGACAACATTTGTAATCGGTAGTATTTTTCATCAACAAATGGCTATTAATAATTTTATTATTCCTCGCGTGGTACAGGGACGAAGAGGACGTTTATCACAGTACACAATACAACACATTGCACAAGAGGCGAAATGCACAAACGACAGTTCTTGAGATATTTGACATCATAGTGGTTATGGGAGAACCAGCGGTGGCTTTTTATTATAAGAAAAATATTCATAACAACATAAAATTGGAATGAAACTAAATAAAAATGTAACACTTTTGTCTCGTTTATTGTATGTAAGATCTTTTTTATATTTGATTAATTTTGCATTCACAATGCTGTAAGATTTATCAAAATTCTTATGTTTTTCCACGGACCTATTTAGATTTTTTCGGTCAATTAAATTGCCTATAGATTATTCGGATAGACCAGAAACTTCTGCTACGGTTTTGTTTAAAGTAATATCTTGTCGATATGCAGTAGGATTTGGATCAAATTATTTGTATACATTAAAATCCCATTGTTTACATTGACTACTATATGTCCGATAATATATATTTTTCGTATGCAAGCAATGATGTATTCAAAAGTTTAGATAGTTTATCTGCGCATAGCACTTACTAAAAAGCAAGGCAATTGCCTGAATTTCACTTTAGCAAGCGTTATGGCTAATGTAATTTTCACTCGTAATTTTCTGTGAAAAGTTGTAGATAAAATGACTTCTTGCATTTTTAAACAACGCACAAATGACTATTATGAGAAAAGCAAGAAGGATATAATTTCATCCTCAAGTACTATTAATCGTTCACTGTATTTACTCGTTTTTTATTTTAATAAAAACGTTCAATGAACGCGGCCATTTTTTTCGTGCATCGTATTCTATGAGGATGCAGCAGTTGACGCGTAAAGCTATGCAAATATGTTTATCTCGTTCTAACTAGAGGTATACCGAAGATTCCGATAGAGATATAAATATTATTGATTTCATCGCGCCCTTTGTGATTGTATTATAATGTTACGCTGTTTTAAAACGCAATAATTTACGGGTATGCCTAATAAGGTACGTTTAATACGGTACGTTACGGTACGTTATGTGCAAGTCGTTGTTTACTCATGCGTTTCCTAGTCGCAAACCGAAACAAATAATATACAGCAAGAATGCACTCAAAACGAGATTTCCTTCGCAGAATGTCAGTGTACCCCCACGCTCCTGTACCCCGCGGGCGGGGAAAGTCATTGATAAAATGTGTATGCCATTATAAACGAGTTCACTTTAAAATTGTTAGTTCTAATCAATACAATTTTCGCAAGGCTTTCCGCTTATTGATTGAGATTGAAATTAAATATTTTTTTCTATTAATATATTTGAGAAATCTTAATAATGAAGAATATATAAGAGCTTTATCGTAACTTATTTACAACCATTTAAATGTGGCGAATGAATTAAATTTTGTTTTAATTCATTCGCCACATTAAAAATGAATGAATTAAAGTTTGATAGCAGAAATTAATAAATCAACAGAGATCTAAAGATAAATCAATAGCATCTGAAACCGACGCACTATAATCAGACTAACCATATTGTAATTATTCATTATATAATGGTTATCATATGAGACAACAACAGAATTATTTACCCCTACGGAAAATTGGATTGAAAATTACCTTTAGATTATTTACCATTTGAAGTATTTTTTTATACTACCTCATAACAAAATCTTATAAAGTTTTACAACACAGATGTATAGAAAACTATAAACAAATGTTCACTACAAAACTTGGTGATTCTGAAAACTTCAAGACTGTTTAAGCGGATTAATATATTTTAAGTGATAATTGAAGTGCACTTGAGACATAAGTACTGAAATTTTCGTTGATATTTCACTATATTTATTTATTAGAAAACTATAAGATGCTTTTTTTTTACTGTAGTTTGCAATTTGACAGTCTAACGTGGGTGGTGTTAAAGTTTTTCACCTACACCCAGACGGGGTGATTGTCGGGTCTAAACCAGTGTTATGGGCGATGTAGGAGGGGGGTATCTTCACCGGTCCACATGTGATCACTGCGTCGCCTCTCGCTGCAATTGTTAGTGCAACACGCTGACACGTTGGTACCGGCCTGTAATAAATCATCTTATGAATGTTCCACTGCTGACTATAGACTTCCCCTAAAGACAGTATCACGTAGAGAAAACGAGATAGAACTCAAGCGGATGAGTCAATTTAACGCCTTCATGTGCCTTATAAAGCACGCAGGAAATCCATTCATCCGATTACCGGCAAATATTAAAGGTTACTTTACCTTCCTAAACGCAAATAGAAAACGCATATAGTATTATAGAAAAATCAATCAAGTGAAATATACGCAATCGAAATGCTAACGTAACATAATATTTAAGAAGTAAAACTCTTTATACAATTTTTTTCACCAGCTCTCAGCCTATAACTTGTATTAGTCATTGCTCGTATAATTCAGTTCAAGGCTGCTATTAAAAGTTATTTGAATAATAAATTTCAAATCGTTAACCATTTCTTTCTACTTTTTAACTATATTTTTGACAATCTTCTTTAACAGCAATCAATGGACTTGAAAAGCTTCTAGCGCTAATGAAATCAGAGACGAGGAAATAAATATATTTTTACGCGCTACAAGCTTTTCAAGTCAATTACTGTTAGAGAATATTTTGATTATAATTACTTTAAATGTCTAGAATTTATTTATTTACATTTTAGTGCGCACAAATAAAATCTTTTTAATAACAAAAAAAATTACTTTAGTTTTGTTTCATTCTATTCATTTCTGACATAGCATCTGAATTGCAAGGTGTTATTCCTGTTAATTTTATATATGTTGTAGTTCTCATAAAGACGGATCTAAAGAGCCCAAATATATATCACAAAGTTCCTATGACCACCTTTCGACTTCATCATCATATCAGCTTACTGACATCATAATATTGCATTGTCATCTAACTTACATGTCTATGCAAAATTTCAAATCTATCGGTCATTGGGAAGTGGGTCGAATTTGAGTTCCAAGATATGCTCACTAATAAGACAAGTTAAATAAAAGCTTGTAAAAAGTGTTATTAACACATGTCCAAACAGATAACGCTTTGAAAATTAATAATTACCTGTGACAAATGCAGATCGTACAGATGCAACGTGCTAACGGACATATCTTTGGTCTCGTCGCACGGCGGTTCGACGGCGGGCGCTTCTAGTCCCAAAATACTGGCGCCCAAAGAGGAACCGACGCCCGCGAGCCCTAACGAACGAGACCTGGTGTTCGAGTGAGACGTGGCCGGACCAGGGGATTCCTCTTCATCGCTAGTTTCGTCCATTTCCTTTATATAAAAAAAAATCTTGTAAGCACAATTCCTCGCCGCAGTTATTTAGGCGCTTCTATGAAACCAAACTTATCCGCTAATAGCAATGATGCCGGAGTAAAATGAAAAAGAAATTATATCTATCCCGTCAATCAAAACTATTAGTTAAAATATAATACAAAGTTTAAATTTAACACGAAACGGTTTAGATAATAGACATTAAAGTTGAGGAGTGGAGGCTCGTTACGTCACAGTGTAATTTTACGTAAAGCGTGACGTCATGCGACATTTCAAGTCAATTTATCGATGTAATTTATTGATTACGCGAGATTTCAAAAAATACGTGATTATAGACATTAAAGTTGAGGAGTGGCGGCTCGTTACGTTACAATAGAAGATGTACAAAAGCGTGACGTCATGCGACATTTCAACTCAATGTATCGATGTTATTTATTGATTACGCGAAAATTAAAAAAAAAACCGTGATTATAGACATTAAAGTTGAGTTTATCTATTCCCTACGCTTTATACGTGCACTACCACTGCAGTAATATATTAAAGTATGGTACCTCGGAAATAGTATCTTTTATTTTTATTAGCATGTATTATATGCCGGATCACTAGGTTTTAGTTGAATTTACTGTTATTTCACATAAGAAATAACATAAATATAAAATACCTAGCAGTAATAGTGCATGTACTAGATCTAATAAGGTTAGGTTGGGTTGAAAGACATTTTCAACCAGTTATTTATTTATGAACATCCTCAAAACATAATCAGAAACTCTACCAAGAGAGGCTAATCGATGGCCATTTATAATAAAATTTATCCATAAGAATAAAAACCTTTGAATTATGTTAACACTTTGTCAAAAATCGTTATTTATATCGACGCATGTTAAGTTATATACTCACGGGTAATTTGTAAGGTTGTCTCTGTTGTTGATAAAACGAAAGCACGGCGGGAAGGGGTGTGTTAGCACCAAATATACTCTGCTGAATATAAGACCCCAACATAGTTTTGTTCTGAAAAAGATTTAAGTGAGTCGATTTTTGCGTACACAGAAAAAAACATAAAAATATTTCATCATCATTATCAGCTCTTTTGCGTCCCCACAGCAGAGGCTCAGGCCTTCCTTATGGATGGTTATGGAGGATGGGCTATGACACGCTGGCCCAATACGGATTGGAGGGTATTAACGACTGCAAATGCAGCCGGGACCAACGGCTCAACGTGCCTTCTGAAGCACGGAGTAGCTTGAGATAATAATTTTTCATCACCCATCCCGTGATCGAACCTTGCAAAAGTTGCTTAACAACGATCGCGGGCCATGACGCATACCACTACGCCACGGACCTATAAAAATATTTACAATATGTTAACAATGAATCATAAAATATTTAGAATAAAAAGAGATTAAATAATATCATGTTTTAATTTTTTTTTAATATGTAATAAACAAATTACAGATTGATGAAAGTTGGTTAACCTCCGAGTATTGTAGGGTGACCATAAGTAGTGTGACATGTTTATAGACATTATTTTTTTCTTTATCTCCTACACGAATAGATAAAAAAACATGTCTTTAATTTATAATACAAACACAAAATTAAAACTACGCACCCATTTAAATAAAACCTGCATAATTATATATAAAAAAATCGTAATCATTTTTATATTCATCAGTAATATCTTGCAACCCGTGGGAGAGCCACGCTTCGGCATGAATGGGCCGGCTCGACCAGAGTGATACCATCGCCTTACAGAAAACCGACGTGAAGCAACGCTTGCGTTGTGTTTCGTCGTGTGAGTGAGGGTACCGGAGGCCCAACCCCTCCCTATTTCCTTCCCTCTACCCCTCAACCCTTCCCTCCCTATGATCATATTCGTCCCTCAAAGGCCGGCAGCGCGCTGTAGCCCCTCTGGTGTTGCAGGTGTCCATGGGCGACGGTAATCACTTACCATCAGGTGATCCGTCTGCTCGTCTGCCCCCTATCACATAAAAAAAAATCTAACTTACCAGGGGATTGTTGACAGGTAAAGCGTGGTTCATACTTTGGCGCAGTGAACGCAAGAACTGTCGCTGAGCGGGCTCGTCCGGCTGCCAGCCAGGGTGCCGACATGAAAACGCGACCAAAGACAATTCCGTCTTACCACCCTCGCCCTGATTATACTGAGTGTTGCCACCTAAAATGAAACGTTGAAACTTTCAATTCACAACGACAGAGATGCATGTAGATGATTTTCGGGGAAAAAAAATGTTAGTTTCACGTACACTTACTCTTTGGCTTCTCACTATACTTCCTGAGACCTTGCCAGTCGGGATGACCGTGCCGAGGAATGTCCAGCTACGTTGGGGAGAAAAATTATATTTTGGTAAAGTAAACTATATATATCGAAGGAGTAAGAGCCTGGATTATATTACAAGTTTTAACTGCAAAATCGTGGTCACATATTCAAAACCTAATAAAAATGTTATTATGAAGAACATATGTTATTTTTAAATGTTTCAGCTACTACACTACTACTCGCCTGATGAAAGTGAATTATATCTCTTTTCCCTATAAAAACCTCCCAACTACCTTCACATAAGAAATCATAGCATAACGAAGCGTCCGTTGCGGAATGAAATTTATCCATTTACAAATCAATATAAATGAGCCACTTTAGTTATATCTAGTTCAAACTTACGAGAGACATTATAAAATGTAAATATTAACTTCATAATTCAAAGATTAGCTTATAATCTGTAATCCTATAATACGTACCTTAGCGAAGGAACATACGTCTCCAATGCCGTGCACTTTGACAGTGAAATTTCGATAAAAATCAACGATGTCTAGAGCACGTGAACGCATGGAGAACAGTACTAGTGGACACAACAGCGGACTGAGCAGCTCAAACAAAATGTATACCTGCAATAAACAACGATATACAATTACAAATTATTCTTTAATTCATAAAAATCACTGAGACTTAAAAGATCTGGTAACTCGCTACCAGAATTACAGCAGCTCTTTCAGCCCGATAGCCTTTAAAGTGTATGATGATGTTACTGACTTTCAGAGCTTTTATATTTCCTGGACTGTAGTCATAGTAGTGTATGTGTGTAGTCACAAATACACGCTTCGTTTGTGGATCTGTAGTCCACATTCACACAGGGCATGTTTTGGAGTTTTCACGCTTTTGTTTACAATATCTGGAAATATCAGTAACATTTAATTTTATGCAAAATCGGCGTCTGATTAATTTGCAGTGCCCGATTAAGACTCGGACAATCGTCATACAGGCGCACCGAAATTTATGATATCGAGCTTAAAAAGCTCTACAGTTGGTTTTTGTTTAGCTTCAAAAACTACAAAAAGTTATAAATAATTCAATAACATTTAACTCTTACACACTCCTCCTCAGCTCCTGAATCACATAAAATGCTCTTTCAATATAAAGTAGAGGCTCACAATTTCCATTTACAAAAAATATTTGACTTTATATCGTGTAATCTATCCACCGTTAAATACTCATCCTTACGATGGATATATACAGAGTATGACTGAAAGATATATAATCAAAGTTATTTATTTAAAAATAAAATCTCAGACATTTAGATAATATTAAAACGAAACCATTCAGAGGCTCTTTAAGAACTCTGAAATGTTATTATTGTATCTTTGTTCCGTCTCATAAGACGACAGACCGAAATATCAAGCGCTAGTATATTATTGGATGATAAAACCTTAAATAATATTCAAACTTTATGGTAGATAGAGATATTCTTAATGAGAAATGCTTAAAAATCATGGTAGAATTATTATATTTGATCAATATTGCATTCACAATAGTATACTGGAAGATATTCTCAATGAAAAATACTTAAAAATCCACTTTGTCCCTGGCACTCTGAAATGGGACCAGGGACAAAGTTTTTTTTTAAGTATTTTTCATTAAGAATATTTATGTTAGGATTTAAATTATTTATTAGTTACCGCGCGGAACTGGAACAACTGCTGAAAGTGAGCCGCTACGTCCTTAGTGTGGGCACGTCCACGCCACGCGGCCGGCAAGTAATGCACGTGACCGAGCACTTGTATGAACAACTCCTCACCGCGCGCTGGACCAGTGCACCCCCCACCTATGCGCTCCTCTTCACCTATCAAAGCCCTACAAATAACGTTGTTTGATATCAAAAACATTTGGGCAATATCGAAAAATTAGACAGCATTAACTATCTGGAAACTTGATATACTCGACCTATTCTTTCGACTAATACTCATGAATCATAAAAATTATTAATCATAATTACAACTATTGGATGGTCAAATGTTTGTATGTTTTAATATAGTTTTATACTATTAGCATGGCAGATTTCTTTTGGCATTATACCTTACCAAAAAATAAAATTCTCAGTCCATTCTTTCACTATCTAAAAAAACAATTATCTTACAATCTATCTTAATATATTCTAGTTATTTAGAAAGGATTATTAAGGTAATTGTTAAGATTTTATTTCCCAAAAGAAATTGTACATTTAAATACATCTAATATAAGTGCGTGCAAATAAATGTTTGTTTATTATTTAACTAGAAAACGGGTAAATAGTATGATAAGTTACCTGGCACCAGCGAGTATGCATCCCAGTATAGTAATGATAGTGAGTACGTGTTCCACAGTCAACACGTCCTCATCGTATACCGATAGTACTACTAGTACGCCCAGCACGCTCGCCGACAGAAACACCACATTTCTAACAAACATAATTAATTTATGAAAAATAAAAGCACAAGTAAAGTTCAAGTTGTTATTTCTTGTATGGCAACATTATTCTTATTATATTTTCAAATATTTCATTTCGTTATTTTGAGTCCCCCTTTAGGATTCCATATAAAATCTTTAATTTCAAATTTTTTACGTTTGGCACAGCTTCACTATATTTACTGGACATTAGTACTTTGGCATAATCAAGTAAGTACAGTACATTCACAAGGATTTCTATGCTAAAATCCAATTGAATCACCAGAAAAAACTGCCAAAAATATCCAGTATTAAATTAATATAATACTTAAAAACGCGTAATATTAATAACATGAGCGATTTGTAAGGATGGTTCGATCAATTGAGACAATTAGTTTAAAACATACAGTACGAATATTATAAGTAAATTTATTACAAGGATAAAATTATATTACTTAAAGTGGATTTTTTGTAATATCTGTTTGTGTTCAACGCGATTATACGTAGGACGTGCATTCCGGACAAACCTTCGTGGTTTTATATCATAATACGATGATGATAAAATGTATGAAATCAAGCGCGTCATTTACTCTTGATGCGTATTTGTTTGCGTATTTATATCGGTACTTAAGCGGTGGTACACGAGAGTCTTAGAAATTTTATAAGAGTATAAGAATTTTAATGCTGCATGCCCGTTGCATGTATTCAACTGATAGCCATACTAGCAAATCGCTACGTGATGACGCCTTTACTTACTTGGCTATAACTGTTGTGATGGGCGACGTGAAGCTAGCTAGGTACTTGGTGGCAGGCTTGTGGGCACGATTGAGCCGGTCGCGTAACTCGTGTTCGAGTTCGTTGAAGTGGCGCAGAGTGATACGAGCGTACAGCGACCAAGTGCGCAGCCCCAGCGAACCGGGCGAACGTTTTATTAACTGTAAAAATAGCAAGCATCTTAATCACCAGCCTATTTATTTCCAAAAGGCTGTATCCAAATAGACGAACATGTGTTATGAAAACATAATTCGGATTACTTTTAAGCCAAGTTTATATGAGGTTAGATACTGACTCCGACATGGAGACAAGTAAATGCTGTTCGCTATAAATTGAACTGTAAAGACGGTCCTTTGTCAATTTCGGGGCGCAAAATGTGGCTGTCGATCTGATCTGGTATTTGACAATCCGTAGCGCATAAGATTTAATAAGCGATAAGTTAAATTTATGGATTATACATAATGCAATAAATATAAAACATTAATATTTGATAGTTTTTTTCTTAGATAACTTTAATAAAAATTGCAACTCACCTCAGCATAATTGAAAAAGAAGTAAAGTATCTGCCATGCTTGTATGAGCGGCGCCAGGAGTAAATTAATAAAAGCCAATAGAATTATTTGTTTCTCGAGTTGTCGCGCTAATTGCATTCGATTCGTATGATCTTTGTACACCTCCCGAAGTTGCCAACAGTTTTCCCATGGACTAGAAGGGCCAACTGTGAACAACAGAGTAATTAAATACAAAATAAACACAGTGCGATCTAATTGCAGTCAATATACAAGTCTTTATTAAGGTAGGTATTTTATTTAAATCGTGTAATTGAGTTTCTGTGAAGTGAATACTTACAAAATAATAAAAACTCCAAATTCCATTTCAAGCCTCTTGATAGATAGTGAAAATGTCCTATGCAAGGTATGTAAATTTGCAGAGGAAGTAAATTTTTATTCACCATTGCAACCATGTAATTATTAAACCTGAAACATGGAACAATATAATTATGTTGTATAAATAGTGAAAATAATTAAAGATAATGAAATTATAATTTACGCATTTAAATTATTAACTTGCCTATAGAGTAGGAGTTTACTAAGAATGTATTTTTGGAAATAATAATTATGATTATGAAAATTCCACCCCATAAGGGGTAATAACATCAGTATAAAAGTTCTTAATATTTGAACTGATAACAATGATAAATTTTCATTGATATTGCAATAGTTTAATAATAAATTAATATCTCTTACATTTTAATTTTGGAAAATCAAGTCCACGTCATTTGCTTATTAATGAAAAGCAAAGCTTATTTAATGAAATATAATACAAATATATTATGTTTGCTCCTCTCTACCAATTTCCAACAGAGCGTCGTCATTATGGTATGATTGTTTATTGTATGCCACTTCACAAATAAAGGTTAACATCTAAGAATTTTTTATCATTTCATTTGGGGGGCTAATGTTACTCGCGTCCGTAGGACACTCCATCTTTCCTAAGAAACACCCTACACGTGCCCCCTGGGTGGTGCTAAAGAGTAACAACGCCGAGTCTTGGGCGGCGGTCAATTAACCCGATCTAGCAGACCTAACACGTTTGTATATGTTGGAGGTAGGAAATGACCCCAACAACTCGGTCTTGCGGTCATGTCTCGTAAGGCTGAGGGTTTGACCTTAATTGTTTGAACCAAGAGGAAGAATACCTCAATAAAAAATTACCCTAATCCCAGTGGTGAGGAATGTGCCGAAGGGATGCATGGCTGGAAGGAGTCCAGTTTATAGCACCAACCTCGTTGTAACAGGCCAGCAACGTTGTATTGTGCCTTCTTACAGGAACGGGCGTCACCCTGTAAGTGACCTTTTGATTCGTCCCAAATCGTGGGAACCAAATGAATGATACCATTAAAAAACAAACCCCAAAAAAAACATTAACACAGCAGGCCTTCCATCCAGGCCTCTTCAATAGACAGCGATCTAGCTCACTAAGTGATGTACCAACTCACCGACAGAATACAGAACCACTGACCAACTCAGAGAAACATATAGTTGATCTAACTGAATCATCAGAACATCGACAAGATGACCAGGAACAACAACCACCTCCATGGCAACGAGTTCCAGCATCGAAAAAGCGCAAGATACATGACCAATCACAATCGCCAACCTCCTTGCAATCAAATAACCGATTTTCCAACCTACCAGTAGACTCGTTGGAATCTGAAAACCAACCTAAGCAGTCAACCAAACCACCTCCCATCGTGTTGTATGGGATAGAGGACTTGAATGAACTAGCAAAACTAATACAATCGGTTGTTCAACCTAGTGATTTCAAATTCAAAATTATTAATAAAAACCTAATGCGCTTATCCATAAATACTGTAGAAAACTACAAATTAGTGATAGACTTGATTCGGCGGAAGGGATTGATCGGACATACCTTTTCACAGAAGGATAAAAGATGTCACCGAATAGTGATAAAAAACCTCCATCACACGACACCACATGATGCCATTATCCAAGAAATTGAAAAATGCGGCAATAAAGTTAGAGGTGAAATAATCAACTGTCGATATGGACCGGATAAAAAGCCGACCTCAACATTTTTTGTTAATTTAGAACCCAGCAATAACAATAAACTGGTCAAAGATATTAAATATATTTACCACCAACATGTAAAAATTGAGGACCCACGCAAGAGTAAAACAATAGTCCAATGTCAACGTTGCCAGCAGTATGGTCATAGCAAGAATAACTGCATGAGACCTTATAGATGTGTAAAATGCGGAGAGAATCACAAAACTTCTGACTGTCCCAAGAAAGACAGAAACACTCCAGCTAAATGCGCCCTCTGCTCCTGTGATCATCCCGCAAACTACAAAGGTTGTCAGGTATATAAGGAAATTCTCAGCCGTAAAACCAAACCTAAAAAGACCCCGATAAGTGCTTATGTAGTCAGAAATATATCTAATACTGAGCAAACGAAATACAACAGCAACAATTCAAATCCTTCTACAACTTTGTTAAGATCTACAAACCAACACACCTACGCTGAAGTTACTTCAGGTCGGCCCAGAAAACTGTCTAGCAATAATCAGGAACATAAAGATGACTCTATTGATCAATTAAGGATTTTTGAACATCTATTAACAAAACAGAATGAGAAAATTGAGCTCCTCCTTCAACAAATCAGTACCCTAGTTGGCCTACTGACTACAGTGATTACCAAGCTATCACCGTAAAAGAGCTCACGTTGAGGATTGCAACGTGGAATATTAATGGACTGTCACCTAACATTCAAGAACTTGAGATTCTGATCCATACAAACAATCTCGATGTGGTTTTAATATCTGAAGCACATGCCACAGTGAGAAGTTCATTCCGCCTCAAAGGATTCATCATTTACTTCACTCCACATCCTGATGGTGGAGCTCATGCTGGATCCGCTATAATTTTAAAATCGCATCTGAAGCACACACCATTGGAATCTTTCTCGACGATGCATCTTCAAGCCACTACAGTCCAACTTGAAACACGACGCGGCAGCATCACGCTTTCCTCAATTTACTGTCCCCCAAAGCCTAAAATTACTGCTGACATGTTTGCAGCCTATTTCCAAACTTTAGGCCCCAGATTCATAGTCGGCGGAGACTGGAACGCAAAGCACCATTTCTGGGGCTCCCGTGTTGTGACTACAAGAGGGCGCGAACTCAAACGCTGCGCAGACAATAAGCACCTAAAAATACTTTCCACAGGTGAACCAACATATTGGCCTAGCGATCCTAGAAAATTGCCTGACCTCTTGGACTTCTTTGTGACCCACGGTGTAGCTAGCTCGCACACAAATACAGAGACTTGTTTAGACGGGTCTTCAGATCACACACCGGCAATTCTAACGCTAAGTACAAATGTGATTTTTCGAGAGAAGTCAGAATTTCTTACCAACCACCAAACAGATTGGGAAAGCTTTAAAAACTATCTTGACGAAAACATGAATCTTAAGATATCGTTAAAAGATGCAGACGAGGTCGAAGAGGCATGTAAATACATAACCAACCTCATTCAAGTGGCTGCCTGGGCTAATACGTCACAAAGAAATTTCAACTTGAAAAGTTCTGCTTGTTCATCTGACATAAAGCAACTGATCATGGAGAAAAGACGTCTCAGAAGAAACTGGCACTTATCTCGCTTACCGGCTGACAAATCAATCCTCAACAAAGCTGCTAAAGAATTAAAAATAGCCATAAAGAGCTCTGTGAACAAAACCATCACCGAAAACATTTGCAGATTATCACCGACAGGCTGCAGTCAGCATTCGCTTTGGAAAGCTGCTTCAAACTTAGAGAGACCTCAACTTCCATGTCCTCCTATAAAATCCCCTTTAACGACGACTTTATGGGCAAGAACAGACCTGGAAAAAGCTGAGACATTTGCAGATTACTTGTCTAGAGTGTTCAAACCCAATGAGCAGCTATCGGATGAAACAGAAGTAGACGAAGTCCTGAGTAGAGACCTACAGATGCACCTACCAATCAAGCCAGTATCGCCGAGAGAGGTAGCACGAGAGATAAGAAACCTTGACGCTAAAAAAGCTCCAGGTTTTGATCTTATAACGCCAACGATACTTAAACAGCTACCCAAAAAAGCTGTCACTTTCCTTACTTGTTTATTTAATGCCATCTTAAGAACATCCCACTTTCCATCACTCTGGAAGGTATCACAAGTAGTGATGATACACAAAGTAGGAAAGCCTGAACATGAAACGTCGTCATATAGGCCTATAAGTTTGACGCCTGTGCTCTCAAAACTTTGGGAAAGAACATTCCTTTCGCGACTTCTACCGGCCATGAATGAATGTAGTGTTACTCCAGTTCATCAGTTTGGCTTCAGAAAGGCACACTCAACGATCGAACAAGTCCACAGAATTTATCACACTATACGACAAGGTTTCGAAAATAAGCTTTATTGCTCGGCGGCTTTTCTGGACGTACAGCAGGCTTTTGATAGAGTTTGGCACAAGGGACTCTTGGCCAAAGTAAAGAATAACTTGCCACACTCAATGTTCCTTCTCATTAAATCGTACATAACAGGGCGCTCATATCAGGTCAAACAAGGCGAAGCTAGGTCAAGCCTTTACAAAATCGAGGCTGGTGTTCCTCAAGGGTCGGTCCTTGGACCAGTACTATATACTATATTTACCCATGACCTACCGGTATTGAATAACATCACTGTTGCAACCTACGCTGACGACACTGCCTTCTTATCAACCGACACTGACCCTGGGGTAGCCAGCTATAACTTGCAAAAGCAGCTTGATGCGACACATAGGTGGCTTTCTAAATGGCGGATACGCGCAAGTGCTAGTAAGTCTCAACATGTCACATTCGCTTTGAGGAAAGGCAATTGCGCCCCAGTCAAACTTGGAAATGATATCCTACCACATTCTGACAACGTGAAATACTTAGGATTCCATCTTGACCGACGTTTGACCTGGAAGAATCACATAAAGAATAAAAGGAACGAAATTAACACAAAGCATCGAAGCTTACTCTGGCTGATGGGAAGGAACTCAGTACTGTCCGTCGACAACAAGCTGCTGATATATAATTCAGTTTTAAAACCGATCTGGACATATGGGATTCAAATATGGAGTGTGGCTTGCAAGTCGAATGTCCTATGTCTCCAACGAGTACAAAACAGCATACTGAGGGATATTGTAAATGCTCCCTGGTTTACCAAGAACGATGAAATCCATGCATATTTGAACATGCCAACAGTGGCCGCTGAAATCGAATTGTATCGAAAAAGACACAAGGATCGTCTAAAAAATCACCCAAATCCTCTTATAGCAGAGTTGTTGGACCCATCGAAAGTGGTGAAGAGGTTGAAAAGAGACCACATACTTAATTAGTAGAAGCGGTGTTGACCACTTCACTAAACCAATCTCCATCTACATCAACATATTCGCTTATGGTCTTGCGACCGATCGCAAATAGCAATATAAAAAAAAAAAAAATAAAAAAATAAAAAAAAAAAAAAAAAAAAATTTCATGAACACAAAATCAGTGAATATTATGGAGAAAACGTTATTTATTACTTAAAATTGTACCTAACATGACATAAATAAGTATTATTTCAATAACATCTTGACAATATATAGAAATAATATGTCATAAGAGAGCAATATTAGCTGATAAATAATATACCTGAGAATTCTATGATATATGTCTAGTTCGTTGATTTCCTGTTTATGGACACACATATGATGCTCCGGTTGAGCTTCTCTCACTCTATCTTGAATAGTAGACCAATTCACCCATGCTAAATCACTCTATAAGCAACACAATTAATTATCTGAAGTTGTTCCTGATTATCATAAATAAATTTCAGGATTACAAAACACTTACCTCTCTAATTTTTAAGGCATTATTATAAAATAATTTAGTGTCATATGCATAATAAAGATGGTATACTGATATAACTAACTTCATGAACCATATTAAGCCACACAGTGCCACCAGGCTCCACCTACAAAAAACAGTATGTATTTGAAGTAAAAAGATATAGGTTTAGTATAATTCAGATGTCTGAATAAAATAATAATGACATTTCATTTGTATTACACCTTCTACCTACCTTCAAAATGATACTACTGGATCCATTCACAACATAAAATTTTATATTTAATGGAAATATTGTGAATGTGTCCAATAGTATTGTTTTGAAGGTTTTTAACAATCAACACCTATAAAACTAGTCATATGTGAACACGGATCCTGTAAAGGGTCACAAAAACCAAATTTGTATGTAACATTCACCTCAATATCATGTTTCTTTCTAGTGGTAATTTTATTTTTATGGTTTTAATACCAATAAATATGTCAATGCAAAGACTATGAATTTTCAGTTTTTTTCAACGATGGTTTTAAATTCGTACTTTTATCTCAATCTTTTAATGATTTTAAAATATATATTACATTTGTTGTATGTTCTAATTTTAATTTTTTTTATTTGCTGTTTTACAGAATAAAATATAACCTATGTTCACCATATATAATGTAGCTTCCCATGGGTGGAAGAATTTTTTAAATCGGTCTAATAGTTTAAAAGAGTCTATTTGTTACAAACAAACAATCAAATCTTTCTTCTTTATAATATTAGTATAGATATATACCTACACATTCACTAAAAGATACCTATAAAACTCTTAATTTGTAAGCATTACAAGTTAACATTGCCAGTTTGAAGACTTCTAGTAAAGTTACAATCTGTATGCAATCATTAAAATAGAACTATGATAGTTTATATCTTGGTAAAGTAGATAACTGCTCAAAGATGCCAATATATTGAAATATATGAACTGAATAAAATAATTATCAGTTCTAACTTACCATGTCCATGATACTCTCTCAACACACTCTTGTGATGAATATATGACTTCATCCAAAGTGAGTTTTCTTGTTCTATTTGCATAATCATCATTTCTAAATAGTCTTGGATAATTTACACAGTGTACAAGAAATGTAGAAAACCACACAATAAATATAAATTGTAATAGTGAAAACAGATCTGACATTATCATTGGATAGAAACCCCCACGTATGTAATATCTGTACATTCTTGTAAAAAATGAATCTAAATCTTCTATGTGAGTCCATCCTCCTGTAATAAATATTAGAAATTGCATTATTAAAAAAAATATTCAACATGTTTTCTTTTGTTTATAATTCAAATCCAAAACCCTAACAAAAGTACTCTGGCATGGTTATTATTTTCATGTTATTTTATTAAGGACATTGTGCTTACTTAGAAGAATTAATCATAGTTTTAGAATAGAACTTATTATTGATTGTATTAATAATCAATGCTCACAGCTAACTGTCATTACACAGCAAGTATTTTAAAGCCTTGACAATGTTCCAAACACAAAAAAAAAATATGTTATTAACCCAGGAACACTGAAAATATCAAGTGAAAATATAAGCTACATGGAATAATACTTTTTTGATAGTGAAATTAACTGTAAATTATTGATATAAAATTTTACTTTTGTACTCAGAACAGCACAATTTACACGACAGAACAAAGAAATTATTGAAGTACCTATGCAACATACCTTTGTTTTTTGGTACTTTGTGGATAACAAAGTTACCAATTGTTGCATCTTCATGTTCGTGGTCTAGTGTGATCATGGTTGGGGCAGCATTTATATTCTCCACTAATCCCGCCAAAGGTGGAGTTAATTCGTTGTTCAATGCACTATACGTAACACCACGTCTACCAAACTGTGCCATTTTATGTGTTCTTAGCTTAACACTATTTGTTATTTTCTACGTCAAATAGCTTCGCAAAGGCCACTATCTACGCATTCTTGAATTCGTCCCAGAAACGCAAAAAAAAATATCAGTTTACAAGAACAATGCAAGTAAATTTATCAAAACATTTATTTAATGCTTCATATTTTGCACTACTGACAAAAAAAATAATAACTCTAATATAAAGCTTTACAAAAATGTCCTTTAATATAGGTTCAAGGATACAAATAATTTTGTAACTCCAAAGTATATCTTGAATACAATTCACAAACGAAATGACGAAAATAAACCAATGAATGACATATCGAATAGTAGTAAGTAGTAGCAGTAGTTTCGCTTAAAGCAAAGGGAACTTAGTCCATACAGCCTAGTCTTTTGTAGTATTAATTAGAATTAGGTTTTTAAAACATTAGTGTTAAATCCCTGCAAATAAAAAAGTTTTTAAAAAAAATTGTTCCCAAATTCCATATAGATTATAGATGGCCCATCTAGTGGCGCCATCTATAATCTATAATGCGCCATCTATAATGCGCTGGGCGGCTGTTTTGGTGACGTTGTTTCGTTAACCAATAAAGACTGATTGATTGATATATATAATCTACAGGCGACTTGCGTTGACACTAGGGAATGCAATCTCGTTCACACAAGATCTCGTTCTCGCGAGATCTGGCCTTTTTTAGCGAGATTGATCTCGGTCGAAAAATGGGCGTGATCTCGCGAGTTTAACGAGATTGCACTCGAGCATAAAAACGATTCATGATCTGTGCGGCAGTGTGAATTTATGCGACTCCGAGGGGTTAAAAGGCGAAGTTTTAAACTTTTACAGTACTTGTGTTTTCGAAAGGGTCTCAGTGGACACTTTGTGCTTGTTAAGAAGCTACTTTCAAAATTATTCGTAATAATGATGCGTGATGTGAACCGGATATGCCTTTAAATTGATTGCTAAATTTTGTTGTTTTATTCTCTAATTTCTAATAGGTCTCTGGGTACACATAGTTTTCTTTCATTGATAATAATCTCAGTTTAATAGTCAATTCGACTTAGTTAATGGGTAAAATTTTAGGTTTTGTGTTTTTATTATAAAAACCTGTATATTATAATAAAACCAATGTCAAAGTTTACCTGTATAACTAAGCTTTACTCAGCATTTTTATATAATAAAAAAAATTAAACCTGACTAAATCGATTTATCGCTTCTGAAAGCCCCTGCATACTTAGTGCCATGAAAATTGTTGGAGCCGTTTCCGAGCTCAATTGCTCTTTTAAAGGTTTTAGATAAAAAAAATATATAATTGCGTAAAATAATGTAAAATACATAAAACTTTATTGAAAATACCCGTAAAATCAATGTTTATTTCATAATTCCTATATTTTTCCCAATTTATTCAAATATTACGAATATTGTGATTTGAATAAATATTACAGTAAAACAGTAAACACACAAAAGTCCTTATCTCGCGAGATCTCGTAATTGGCGAGATCTCGCGGTATTGATATTCAAAAACTCGCGAAATCTCGCTCGAGTCCCAATCTCGCGAGTATATCTCAATATATTAGCAAGCCATGGTATTCTTCCAGGCCACACAATCCCTACACATGTTTTAAATTGCATTATTGATATAAACAAATTTTTAGGCGCTGTGTATCGTTGTTGAAACGTCTATTGCTGACCATGAATGAGTCCTCATAAATATGAACCTAAATGCTAAGTTAGATTACTCGACCAAAACTTTAAAAAAATTGGCTTTATGGGTCTTCATTTAGTTATGAGTAGAAAAGATTTTAGCGCAGTCATAGACTGTGATGATATCAATGTAGCTACTAATCTATTTATCTCTAATATACGTACATTAAAACAATTGTAAAGTAATCAAAATACCAAGAAAAAGAACTAACAAACCATGGATCACTGTAGGAATTCTACGTTGTATGAAGAATAGAGATAAACTACGCAAAAAGCTAAAGAAAAATCCACACAATGATACGTTAAACACCACTTATAAAAGATACAGAAACTTTTGTAATTATGTAATCAAAAAAGTCAAAACAGCGTATGGAAAGCAGGAGCTTGAAAATGCTAAAAACGATAAAAAAGGTTATGGGACATAATTCTAAAATATCTAGTTGCAAAATATCTAGTTAAAAAACTGACTCGTCAACTTATCTTCTTTCTCCCATAGATCCTAATGTAAGCATAAATAGATATACTATTTTTCAGATATAGGCAAAAAACTGGCCAAAGAAATTGAAATCGATTCAGCTTACAGTTACCTTACCTTACAGATGAAAAAGAAGTTCATATACTTATCTTTGAACTAAGAAATCACTGTACCCTGGGATTGGATATGATATCGGGTAAAATCATCAAACGTTATGCTCATTTATTATTATCACCTATTACGCATATCTGTAACCTTGATTTAACGACTAGCATCTTTCCAGATGCTCAAGGTGGCTCTCATAAAACCTATCTTTAAGAGTTGTGATAAGCTTAAATCTAATAATGAGAGGCCTTTTTCAATTCTGCCTTGTCTATCGAAGATCCTGGAAAGACTAATGAGTAAACGTTTAATTGATAAACGTTTAGCTAATTTCCAATGACCAGTATGGATTTCGAGCAAAGAGATCGACTGCGGATGCTGTCCAAGAACTTATTGAGGCTGTTGCAAATAACATGGATGTAGGCAAAAAATGTATAACGGTATTTCTAGACCTAGCAAAACCTTTCGATACCGTATCAATTGCAATTATATAATTTTTTTAATCGGTGTAAGGGGCATTACCTTAAAGCTTTTCGAAAGTTACCTTAGTAGAAGGATCCAAAGAGTAAAGAGATAATTTAGTCAATGATGAAACTGCTCTAAGAGTAACACAAAAATATGTGACTGTCCTCGTCTTTGTAGGACGGAATATATAAAATATTTAGGTGTTACCATAAATTAAACTCTCAGTTTCAATCCACACATTGGTATCCTTGTCTCCAGGCTACGTAAACTTATATTCATATTTAAATCATCACGGCATATACCAAACCAACGTACAATTAAAATGGTTTATTTTGTCCTATGCCAGTCTTAAATTGACTACTGCATCACTTCCTTTGGGGAGGGGTTGCAGCTAAATCCAATATGTTAGAATCAAAGAGAGCTCAGACAGCTATTTTAAAAACTGTTGCCGGCTTACCATATAGGTTTCCAACTATTGACCTCTATAAATTATATTAACCATAAGACAGACCTTCGTTCTTTATACAGTTCTTAAAAAACTTAAGATAATTGGTCAGATCATATTAAATAGTATATCAAACATATGAGATGCCTAAGGAACTGTATAGTGGAATAAAGAGTGACCTATGAGTTTGGACTTGGAACTGTCCGTTCACCAAATTTCGTCGAAAGTCGATGAGTAGTTTTTGGGTGAAAGACTAATAAGTATTCATACAACTTAAACTTTCGCGTCTATAATATTGGTAAGTTACTATCACCTAGATATCTTTAGTTATTGCCTCAACAACCGATCCGTAGCGTAAGCGTAGAAATCGCATAGGGTTAGGTCCTAGTTGTAGGTAATTTAATTTTATTATCCTTTTTATATCATTTATAAGTGATCTGTTTTTGTTATTTTTTATGCTGAAAATATGCACGTAGAAAATAGTTAACATACATATATTAGCACCTTGTTCATGTACATATTACACGTTTCTTCAAAAATTCAAAAGTCTGCAGATTTTAGAGTTAAATTGCAATTACGATACAGAAATAATCTGTATAATATCCAAAATGTCTATAAATAACGGAGTACCTTTATATAACATACTTCTGTTATCAACCTTACGTAATATGGGCCTGGTACCTGTTAGTGCAGATACTTATGGTATCTTTTACAGGCTCCAGTCTCTCAAATTAGATTTAAATTTAATTATATGTAATTAAAATAAACACACTTAATGAGTTGGGTTGTATTGAGATCACACGCAATGTCGGTTGTGTTTTTGTTGTTTTCGATTGTTATTGTTATTTTGTTACTTGTTATGGTTGACTGAAATAGCACTGCTATTATGATTTTCACAAGTAAACCTGATTTCCTTAAAAATAAATACAATTATAATGTCTCCCATTTCATTATTACTTTTAAACAAGTTTTAAAATTATTTCCATTCCGTTTGTTATTGTTTTATTACATAGTAAATGTATTTTTTTTATTTTCCATACACCTAAATATTATATGACATTTTCCAAAAAGCATTTAATTCAGACAAACAAATTAGTTATAAAATTATTATATCAATATTGTGTCGATTATCAGAAATATTTCAATAATTAATTAATAATTCAACTATTGCATTTTGTGATATCTATAATTTCTATTATATTCAAATGACGTCACGTGGGTGTTATTTAGACAAGGTTCCAATTAGGGTATTTGACGCTTTTAAAAATAAGTTGCGTGTTGTGGTCATCCTGTTAGGTAATAATCTAATAAAGTTTATTTCTTAGAAAGAAAAATGCAATAAATAATAAACGACGAAAACGCCCTATGATTCGTGTCGACGCAACCAATTACAGGTTCTGTTTACTGGCATGTGACGTCACATGTAAGCAGGAAGCTGTCATGTCAAAACAGTGAAAAATTTAAATTTATACATACAATTTGTAGATCATTTTTAAAAACAAAACCGTAGATAGATAAAAACGAGTAGATACAAATACAAAACATAAAATTTAATTTCAATTTCTCTTCTGTAATACGTATGTGTTTACTTCGTAAATTAATCAGAGCAGCATTATTATTGCGATTTTGTGTATTTAAACTTTAACAATTGTTTTCATAGAACTGATATTGATAGTGTGTTTAAAATGCATCAAATAAAACGTCAGTACCTATAGTGTCAAATCGTTGCCACGCACCGTATTATTTAATTTTAATGGAGATAAAGCGCCATGATGCCCTTACAACACCAACTCTATGAACAAATACACCATCCGTCGTCGGTATATAAATGTCTGTTATCTGATGCAGTTATAGTTGTACACGCACAGACATAATTACATGCTAGGCACTCTGACTGCTTAGTTTGAGTTCCACTAATATAAGCGAATGACTTTTCTACCGCATCAATCGAATAAACGCCAAACGGATCGAACGGTGAAAACATGCGAGTTTGAATTACAATGAGGAAGTACGAGTATTTTAAAGAAAAAGCACCTCCACTGTGAACAAATACTCCATCCGTCGTCGGTATATAATTATCATAATACATAATTACATAATTACAAACTAGGCACTTTGAGTGCCTAGTCT